ATGCCGGAAGTGAAGTATCTAGAGAAAGGAAATAAAAAAAAAAAATAAGAAAACTCGCGACAGGGATTTACCTCAAGTGCAGCAGTTGCAACCGATACCCCTTCACGGTGCACCATACACAGACCATAGACCCCCTTCACTCCCCTTGACAAATAAATCCCATAAACAATTCATTTGACTCACCCAACCACATTCGTCGATAACACAAGGAAGTACAAAAAAAAAAATTGGCATGCCTTAAAAATAGCAAAATAAAATCTGCAGGTAGAATTTCGCATTAAAAAAATTTTTTACAGTAGAATAATTTAATCACAGTAAAAAAATCTGAAGGCTAATCCCCCAGTGCGATATCACAAGATGCCTATGATCTGATTATATCATAAGATTTTATCAACGTAAAAGCTTTTTGCTGTTGCGGATCTTACGATATCGTATTTACGCAATTGTTTGTCTCCTTTTCTCTCTCTCGCGCTCGAAGTCGTGAACAAATTAAACGTAATTGCGTACGGATTCGCACGAACGTTCAAACTCCCGTTTAGTTCCCATCAAGAGGCACTTAATCCAACCAAGCTTTACAATGGAGCGTGCACTGTAACAGTTCTGCATAATGCTCGGCGCGGTATGATTATGTTGGGCAAACAGGAGCTGGTCCGGCGGGCACGTGCCGTCCAAGTGAACACCGGTTGGAACCGCGAACCCGCCCCAAATATCAACCCTCTATGAAACAGAAAACAACCCTGGGCATGTTCCCACGTGGGCTACGAGGTTTGCCGTTTCGGATTACGGGATGACAAGAAAATATAAGTAGTCGGTATACCCATGTTGTGTATATGCTTGTATAACATGTATTACAGACATTCTTGTTAAAAGTGTTCATTCCCGAAGAATTAGTACAGCGGGATACGGGTAATACGAAGCGAAGGGAACGAGTGAAAAATGATTTAAGTAAAATTACGAAATCCTTTTTTTTACATATATTAACAATATTCATAACGATTTAGTTCGATGGTCTCGAATGTAAACTTCGTATTCGCTATCTGTCAACTGTAACCCCGAACCGATCACGGGTATGTCGGTTCAGGTCAGCTGTGATAAAATCGCATTTATCTGAGACTTTATGATGAAATACCCAGGCCGAAATGCGATACAGATAATAAACGTCGCGCCCATCGAATGGACCAGCCTGTATTAAGATTTAAAACGAGACGGCCTTTACGATCGGTGTGTTGAAAAGCATCTTTACTTTTTTTTTTATTTAACATGTATATCTGTATATTTACAAATGGCGTCGACCTCGGGTCTCGCTCACTTTGATTTCTCTCGATACGTCGGCAAGTGAACTAGAATAACTTTTATTTCTTAATTCCTTAAGACCGATAAGCATTCATTTGGATATTTGAGTTTTCGACGAATCTCCCCTAATCTTATCAAACCGTACGACATAACTGCTGTCGGTCAAACAATAACGTAGCTGATTATCGGGGTGTGCCGGAAACTCCCGATTGGGCTAAAAATAATATTTAGATCGACGTGAATTTTGGCAATGCGAAACGGAGCGGTATGGTCGAAGAGTACTTATGATAAGAAAAAAAAAAATGTTCGACCACCAATACTCAAATTTAGTCAAATTATTTCTATAATACTTTCTCAGTAGCCACTTTAATATATTACCATTGGGAGCTGATAAGAGTCTCAGTATAGAAAATTGACGCGTGATTATCAAAACACGAAATACGAACGAAGCATTACGAATGCGAAACGAAAAAAATTTGTCCAAACGATTAGGAACGTCTGTATGTTTTGAAAAATTCCAAAAAAATTCTAATATTCTCAAACTTAATCTCTCAGCATTCCATCGTCGAATCCGTCGATTTACTCGGAGCGCCACTAAGAATTCCAAAATTCATGATAATATTCCCAACCCCTATTTTGAACCCTTGTTCAAATAATCTTTTTTATTTCTCAAATGATTCTCACGAATATCGACCCTGTGACCTTTGATAGATTGATAATCTTGCAAACAGAAAAAAAACCATAAGAAAACAGATCACGCATCCCTGGTGATCGATCAAACCTCAAATTCAAAAAGGTCAATCCGGAAGTTACCGGGCCAAAGAGAAGATGGCCGATGTCACTTCACACGGTAAAAAAATGATAATACCATAATGCCCCCGGGTGGTGGAGGGGATGGAGCATGTGAGTGCCATATACAAGAAGCAAGACCTCGTGCTGTAACTCGATACACCACATCCAGTAACCATACTCAGGTCGCGTGTCGTCGTCGCTCGCCCAAGTATTTCCCATACGAGTGGACGAACCGTAATGCTTTTCCATGGTGGCTACGGGTGTTTCGTTACTTGTGTTTTCGAATGCCCATCGCTTTTGGCTTAATTCTCATGGGATTCCTAGAAATAAAGGAAAGCAGAGATATCGGCCATACGTCAACCGCACGCTCAGCGAACCGACCAAGACCATTTAACGATGTTACTCCACGCATGTGTCAAAGGGGAGCGCGAAAATATTACCAGACTACTTTCCAAGTAGTTTTCGAAACTCATTACTCTTCCGGATACGTGGTACCAAATCTCCTGCAAAGTTCCCTACAAGTGCTTTAACTAGTATATGAAAGTTTATTGAGTGGCTTTGTTTATCATTATGATTTATTACTAAGCAAAGTGTCAATTAGAGGTTCGTTACATTTTATGTTTTTTTTTTTCAATAGGCAATATAACGCGTTCTCCTATATTTAGCTGAGTGTATTATTTTTTTTTTAATGGGTTCTTATCGGGACACAGACTCCTCGGGTGAACGAAAGAGGGAAATTTAGAAAGTCAGAAATTGTTGAATTAGTAAATGGTTGACGATGAGAAGAAAATCTTACGAACTTAAGCGGCTCTTTCTTTATGCCTCTCCATAGTCAATTGGGAGTGATTCAAATTGCGCGCGCATTATCGGAATACTGCTAAGACCGTTTTCATGGGCTTTTCAGGTCGAGAGACTCTTTCGTGACAAAAGTACCAATCCTTGGCTTCGTCTTTATCTTCATTTTCATTCCCACCCCCC